GGTTCTCTAACTGATATCGGATCATCAGAAGTAGCCTGATATCGACACAATATATAACACAGTAAAATACGTTAAAGCAATAACATTACCAACAAGTTAGTGAACACCCTGACTCAGTATTTCAGTGTACAATTAACGCATATGTTTGATGTGAAAGGCACTGGATTAGAGTCTCAGTGTAAACATCCTTATAGGTATGCTCGTACATTCAACTGATTAGTCCCAAATAGAACAAAACAAACATGCTGAATTCTACTCCCAGCTACATAAAAAAAAACAAATTATGTCAGGTAAAGACTGGTTCCTAAATATATAATTTAAAATAATAATTTCAACACTAACCCCTAACTAGTATACCGATGGAGAGTAGTGGCGATAATTACATCAAATATAACATGAGTTTCATAGATACATTTTCTTATAGGTTGTGCCTGTCAAAGATTTTTCTTAGTCGAGGTAACATATAAAAACAGGAAATACTGCTTGGATGATTCATCTTAACAGGGAACTCTGAAGCAGCACGCCACCCTGATCTCACTAACAATAGGACCAGAGGACCTCCATGCGTTGTGGCGGTCACCTTAACACTAAGAGCGGCCTGCTTGAGCATCTGGGCTACCTGTTCCTGCCATCTAGATATTTCAACAAGTTATCTATTTTTGTTTGTTTTAATATATCATTATGTTTATTAATCGCATAACCTATTCTGCTGCGTTTCTGAAAAGTGTACAAACTTTCGTTGTCAAAGTTACAAAAAACTCAATAAGAGACAATGTGGTTGCTAGCAATATACAGCGAAAAGAATGCACATTATTCAGATGTTCATTTACTGAACTGCTAACATCTAACTGGCGATCACTCAGTATTTATCGCCAGGACCGACCAAGAAGAAACAAACGGAAACTTGTTGAAATACTTTAAGCTGAGAATTCTATATTGTACCAAAAATATAATATTGAATAAAGCTGATGATGATAATAATGATAATAAAACCACTGTGCATCCTTTCAAACTCATATTCATGAAAACTATTAAATCCACCATTAACATATTGTTTCAGTTATCAGTATTATCGAATATTTAGATGCAATTTAATAAAAATTACTTAACTATACATCTGTCAATAAGTCAAAGGATCCCCGAAAGACCAGATTTCAGCTCCACAGTCTACTAGCAATGAAAGTCGAACATCAATTGTCCTAATTTTCGAAAGTTTGCATTAATTCAGTGAGAACATCAATTCATATAAAAATTCAGTAACATTTGGTAATTTTAATAGTTGAGATCATGAGTCATTGAAGCTAGATCACCATGGAAATCCTAAACCAATCCGCCTCTAGCTCTTCTAGGGCTACTGTCGTTCCCAAGCCCTGGTTAAGGAGGAGGGTTGGGCATGGAGTTAACGACAATGGAAATAGATAGGACATACATTACGCAAATATTAAAACTGTATCATGAGGCAAGCTCTAACTTGGAATCCTGAAGGGAAACGGAAAAGAGGAAGGCCAAAGAATACATTACGTCGGGAAATAGAATTAGATATGAAGAGGATGAATAACAACTGGAAAGAGCTGGAAAGGATTGCCCAGGACAGGGTTGGATGATGAATGCTGGTGGGCGGCCTATTCTCCTTCACGAGGAGTAACAGGCGTAAGTAAGTAAGTAAGCAAGCTACAAAACCCCTTCTGATAATAAAATTTGGTAGATTTAAAAATTAACTAAGATAGGAATACTAATATTTGAAAATAAACTTGATTAACAAAAAATAGACCATTGTGTAATTCGAACGAGGATATTGTTCATATATATTTTAGATCAAATAATGTATATTTTAATTTTAAATTTTTTTACCAAAATAAACAAATGTTTTATCAAATGAATTAATTCTATCAGTACATACGTAGTACATATTTTGTCAACATTATAGATATTCTTTTAACAGTTGGATTCATGTGTCCATCTTAGCTAGATCTTAAAGGACTGAACGGCCGTTTCGTTCTAGTATGGGAGTACTCAGCAGTGCACATCCACGATCCCACACGAGTGACTCGATCCTCGGACCTTCGATGTCACGCGAAAGGACTTAACCTCTAGACCACTGAGCCGACATCCTTAATCTGATATATATTTCTACTCATATGAATAATAAATTGAAACCTTTAATCCAAAACTATTCCATATCTTATATAAAAATATTGAGATAAAAAATACATAATCATTAGAATTGAAACTGCGGTAAAAGTTGAACAAGACTAATATGATGTTAAATAATAATTGAACAACAATCATTATGGAAATATTAAGCCTGCAGGTCTGCTTTAATGTTATGGTTTAAATTAAGTCACGAAACGTCAGGAATACAATTTTCTTAACCATTCGGATGTAACAAAAATATATTTATTACTAAAGGAGATTAGTTACGGCCCAAATCGCTAAATTATACGGTAGATACAATATTCAACAAAGTGTTTTTAATTTCTCAGTAAAAATTTACATACAGATGAACATGGTTTTCATCAAGGTATCCCGTATACGGTTTAGAGATACTCTGCGGTTATCAAAACTGAAATATCATAGAGTTAGATTAATATTTATGATTTAACGACTGACGTTGAATGCTTTATATTCCAAGTCATTCTTTTATACAATAACTGACCATACTTTCAAATATAAAATTCCTCAATATTTCCTAATTAATTCTGAGCCTAAATAATGACAATTATAATAATTCTTTGTTTGCATTTTAATATGGATAAGATTTTTCTAGAGAGAAGTCTCTCAACCCCTATAATCTCACAATTAAATGGGATTGTAAATATAAATCATAATGATGTCTCTCCCCACTCTCTAATGGATATAACTCACTGTATTATTCACTTGCCAAATAGTTTATAGAAATTCTATAGTTGCCCAGAAATGCATTCAGTAAGCATAGCATTCTTGATCGTTGTACATTTGTCGATTGTTTTTAAAAGATAATATATTTTCTTTAGATATCACATCCTTCTCAAAATAATCTTACCTCTCACAGAGACAATCTGTTGCCTTTTTTAAGTTCAAAAATTTTCTTTCAATTATCAAAGCATCGCTTACATAGAAAATTTTTTTAACTGCCTAATTATTACTAAACACTAATTTTATCTTTAATATACTACTAAAACGAATTAATAATTCGTATTATTTTGTAATTCAGTTAAAATATATCAAGTAAAATTGAATAAATAATGATTATTTTGTAACTAATAACAATCATTAACTATAAATTAGATCTTCGATAGAATAGAGGTCAAAATAAATAAATAAACTATCCACTGATTGAAATCACAGGTCAGTTGAAGCTAGACCAACATGGAAAACCTGGAAGCACTGGACGGCCGTTTCGTCCTAGTATGGGACTCCTCAGTTTTCCATGGCGGTCTAGCTTCAATTGACTCATGATTTCAATCAGTGAAATTCTAAAATCTCCAAAAAACCCCTTCTGAAAATAAATTATCCCTTTGAAATACTTCCATGCAGAGAAAATTACGCTATCAAATTATCATAATTAACATTGTTTAATCACTGAGTAATGTTAAAGTTCATATTAGCTTATTCCTTACTGCCAGTCGAGTTCGAATTGACCACGGTGGACGAAGAGGGAGACATTATATTCCTTAAGATTATAGGTATATCATACTGCTGACTGCTAACCTGCACGAAACCTAGATACATAGAGTGCTGTCAACCATATTCAACTACCTAATATCACGATTAACTTATTCATCTCTCTTAGCTCCTAGCCTCTAAATATGCTGTATCAAGTAAAGATTTGTTATTTGAATGAGTTTTAACAACTAAAGTATTTAAAATTTCAATTTGACAAACTGGACCTCATCATTAAGTTTAATATAATTAGGGATTCAAAACAAATTCATCTATTGATAATTTATATGTACTTGAGTTCTATAGTTAGACCAGTAATAAAAATCAATGAGCACTGAACAATTTCATTAAATTAGCATGGGACATGACATCAGTGCGCACCTATGACCATTTCTAGGAACAAACATAAATTTCAAGTATCATAGCAAATAACTGAACTTCAGAACATTATGATACTGTCCACCCATTCTTACCATTTCTACATTAATCAGGATCTAAGTGTAACTGTGTTAAATTCACTCATTTATACATGATTTATAGTTGAGTTCTATGAAAGATTTATTTCATTTTGAAATTTTTTTTAAAATAAACTAATTATTTAATCTGGAGTTTAAGGATACAATCCAATATTTTTTACTTACTGATAAATTAACTACAAACACTTGTTTACGTACGCACGACATTTCAGTTTTACAAGTAGCACTATTGTGACTATGTCTTCCAAAAATATATAATTACTTCCTTTGATTAGATCAATCTACATATACTGTTAAATGTACACTGAATTTCCAACAATAAAACGTAGGCAGCAAAGTTCATATGGTTTATATTTTTAAAATGTATATCTTAATAGCAGTAATATATTGGATTAAAAGATATTTTAGTCATTAAATTGTCAGCATCTCAACTATACTAATCGCCATGTTTATAAATAAACTTCGCACACAATAAATGGTTACAGGAAATCGACACAAATTATAGAACTTGATATGTATCACATTGTCAATTATTCAGTGATCTGTCATTCACGAGATCAGTTACTATCTGAATAGCTCAGAATCTGAAACTGGATAATTTATGTTCGAATACCCAAGAAACATCAGTCCCCTAATACTTACAAGTACATCATTTTGACGAATGCCAACTAACACAGAGATTCCTACCGATAGCCTCCAACTAGTTAACATGAAAAAAACTGTCTTCTATTATCTATAGCATGTGAATTTAACCCAATAAATCTTTATATTGACCAAAATTATTTAATAAATTGTAAGTGTAAACTTATAACAGAGTATCTAGATTTACAATTAACAATACCCACTAAAATATTATCTAAACAATTAATTGAAGCTACTTACTTGATCCGTTGGTCCATTCCAACCGAAAGATGGAACTTTTAAGAAATCCATTTAATGCAGAAAAATGTATTCCTGAATTTGTATGTGGAAAGTCAAATTGAGTCTATTTATATGTCAGAATACATGAAATAACAAACATTAACTCTATGCACACATACATAATCGAGAATATTACAACTCTTCTGTTGAATATTTAGTGTGTGTGTGTATGTATGTGCGTATATACAGAAAAGTATATATTTAATATCATTTCACTAACTCTCCCCATCCTTCTATTTTTAATTTTAAACAGGCTGTTAAAATTCATAATTTGTGAGCAGCAACCATTATTCATTACTTCTCATATTTCTTCTCTCTCTAATCTATTCTGTTCAAGTAAAATATAAATTACAAAGGGGGTGGTAGAGAAAACCTATCACAAACCAATCAATTGTTGATTTAATAATAATGAGAAAAACTCTTAACCGAGTCAACCAATCATAAATGAGAATTACGTAAATTGTGCGTAAAATATAATAAACCTGTAAAATATACATCCCTGTTTGTCAATTTATGTAAATATGTCTTATAAGATAATAGAAAGAATTCTGTTGATTGAAATCACACATTCATTTATTGCTTTAATTCATCATAAACAGTGTTTGTAAATCTATAGTTAATGACTGTTATTCATTGACAGAAGAGCTGCAATGAAACAGATTCACTTGGTATTGATTGGCTTGTATCTTCCCATTGAGGTTTAAGACTGCAATTGATCAGACTGTTATTGGCATATGTGCGTACTGTGTGTATGCTTCGAGCTTTGTAAGCAATGATGGGTACTGGCTAACAGTGGAATCCAGGACGGGCGTTTCATTCTATTTGGGACTCGTCAGGTGGATGTACATGCATCTTAAAGTTGATGTTCACTCTGGGACTCGAACAGATTACTTATTAAATAAGAACTTTCGTCTAAATTTGATTGAATAGTTCCACATTATTTGGGCGCCGAGTTAATGTGAGACATTAAAGAGGAAGAATGTAGTTGTAATATCAAGGAAATATTTCCTTGAAAAAGCTTCGACTAGATTGCAAGGTGAAACGTTGTGTTTACTTCCTAATACATTAGCTGAGAATTTACAAATACATTCTTCCTCTTTAGAATATTTATTAGTAATTGGTATAATAAAATGGAAGTTGTTGTATCGTCCAAATCGAATTATGCCAAATTAAAATGTCTCAAGAACATTTAAACCTTATACATGTAAAATTATTATTAAGATATATACTTTATGTGCATTTTGAAGATAATTCTAATTGCAGTAGAATGTTATTCAACATCCCCTGAATATTAGGAGATTTTTCAGGTGGTTTCAACTTCTTGATGAAAACCAACCTTTAAGTGCATAAGATATTATGAAAAAAACGAAATTAGGCATCGAATCCATTAGTTAGCATCAAAATAGACTGATTAAACCACTAGAATGAGTTTATTAATTACATTAATAAACACATTGAAAGTAATCAACCAACAGTATTATGCAATGCATCTCGGTAGCCTAATGGGGTCAGTTTTCGTAAACAAATACTGAAGGTTCAAGCCACTCCCTAAATATCAAGCTTTATACATTATACTGGTTCATCAAAACATGGCATCAGTCTATTAAATCATCTACTTCTGGATTGAGACATGTTGATATTTGTAGACTATCTGGTTAGAATCCATGCAATTACGGTAACGATGTTTGGAAAGTTTGGTAGACTTGGATCACAAGTCAAAACAGTACAGATTCATTTATTCTTCATCTTTCATTAGTTCTTTACTTTCAAAATTATTTTTTACATTTTGGTCGGCAAATGCTTTTTTTATGAGGAACATTGTTTATGCCTAATAATTTCTAATATCATTGATATTTTTACTAATGCTACTATTCTGGCAGCTTTCTCGATAATTTCATCTTGCTTTGTTAATAAGGTGTGGTAAATCAAACAGGTACATATTTGTCCCATGTTCTACTTTATGGTTTACTGGTTGACTGGTTTGATAACGATAGTGTCATACTAAAAACTGATCGAAATCGAAACATATTTTCCTCATAGAAAATAAATTTCAGATACTTGACCACAAATTTTTTCAACAGTATGCACTGAAAAATACCAAAACAAAAACGAGACAGCTGTTCATGGTTTTCAGTGATTCTGAGACCAACGTTCCATAATGAAAATTACATCAATAATAATTAGGAATAATCTAGTGTTCTAATTATCTATGATTAACAATATGAGGAAGTTCCAAATACCCATCACAACTGCGAAATTTCAATTAATTCATGTAAACGATTTAGGTTGAACAACTATTTAAAACCTGGAAGAACTGGAAGCCTGTTTCATCCTAGAATGAGACTCCACAAAAATGCACACCTACGAACCTGCAACTAGTAATCGATTCCAGAACATTTGGTCTCGTTCACGAAAGCTTAATCTTCAAGCCACTCACCCGGAAAATGGTTGTACGATATTGCGGATTGATTGAAACTGAATTTTCATAGAACTGAATTTCAGCTCAGTAATTTACAGGTTGTGTTCACGTGCGCAAAGCAGAAGGTTCTGGGTCGGGAGTACGCAATTCTGAGGATTCTCGTAATAGAATGAAACGACCTTACAGTGAATTCAGGTATTCAACATGAGTTTTTTAACACAAATCGGGTTGTTATTACAATGAAATTCAATAAACTCAACAAATCTCATACTAGAAGGGTTTTCTGTGAATATTATAGTAATTTCAATGGTTAAGATCATGAGTCCAAGGATTACAGGTTTTTCATAGTGGTCTAGCTTCAATTTACTCATGGTCTCAACTGTTAAAATTACTATAATATCCACAAAAAAGACTTCTGATATGAACTAACACATGCTCATTAGTGACTGACTACAAGAAGTATTTTCTGGAGTTCTAGCGAGAAGCAGTAACCAGTGGAATTCAGCCAGGCCTGTTTGAGATAGTAACTCACTGAAGACAATGGTGGATGTGTCACTCAGTTTCGTGGATTGGTTGAAGTTAGACATTAACATCGTTGGATGCCGACCGGCTCATTGATCTAGTGGCTAAGTGCCCGCGTGCGAGACTGATAAGTCCTAGGTTCGACTCTCGCTGGGGGCGGGATCGTGGATTCACGCTGCTGAGGAATCCCACAATAGAAAGAAACGGCCGTCCAGTGCTTCCAGATTTTCCATGGTGGCCTAGCTTCAATTGACTCATGATCCCAATCATTGAAAATCTCATAATAATAAAAATAATTGTTGAAATTCACACGTTCGTTCGATGAATGTATTTAGGTATTTATTCATGAAGTACATTTTTTTATTGATAAATACTTCTTTTATTTATTTCTAGAAAATTTATCTATGAAAATTCTACAATGTCTACTACTCCTCCCCACACAATCATTATCGATATAAATCTTATTGTGCTTGTTAAGTAAATAAACCTTAAAATAAAGCACTAGTTAGGAAAGAAGAGGATATCTTCTGTAAAAACATCAAAGCCCTGTAATGTCGTGAATGTGTAATACTCACAATTTTCACATTAAGAAAAGACACATATCTAGGACTGTTTAGTTTCATTGGTTGTCTAACTTAAGACAGTTTGTGCTGTAAAACTACCAGGAGGAAATATTGGATTATATTAATTTGTCTTCCTTTCTGGTGTGATTAACTAATTTGGTCGCCCTTTTGATACGACTTTTTATTCAGCTATGATATTAACATAAATGGCATAGAATTTATTTGGATGGTTTTTTGATCAATCAATCACCGGTAGAAAACTCAATAAAAACCGACTATTTGTTTTAGTTTAACTCTGCTTGTCACACATTACATCCAATGATTCTAGGTAGCATTGGGCATAGGAATTTCGAATATCAGAGACGACTAAGTTCAGTTAGTCAATTGAATTATATGGAATGACAATAATTCAATGTTATTGGTGATTGACTGTGTTCATAGCCAACATTGCTAAAGTTCATTAGTTAGTCTGTTCCCTAAATTTTTGAACAGTTGATTTGTGAAAATCTCGCAAAAACCATTAATCCATATATATAATGCAGGGAGGTAAATTTTAACTGAACGATGTCATAATTAAAATATTTTTCAAAAAATGTTCGTCGTTATGTATGACCACGTTGATTGCTCTGACATACAGTTACCTATTGAGTTCTAATTAAATTCATGAGTACTTTTCATACGGTATCCGAGCTTTGTTGTAAGCTACAGACTAACTACTTGTTTGAGTTCAATGGTTGGAGACGTTCAGTGATATAGCTCAGTAATAGTAGTGCACATGCATTTGCTCTTTACCATACTTCAGTTCATGAATTCCAGTCTTTCTTAATACATACCGTTTTATGAATTCTTTCTGAATAATATCATCAACTCCTAGTCTTTCTATTCATCATTGTTCATACTTTATATAGATTCCTTCGCTAGTTATCTTGTTAGTTTCTAAATATTAAGCTAGTGCTAGGATCTAAATTGTTTGTGACTAACTGAATTACGTCCTGATGATGATGTACATTCAATACACCCTATTCTTTATCAGCTTACTAAATAATATGAAATATGGGAAAGATTACTTGAAATTCTTAATGTTACTCAAATGACAACGGAAACTTGTTGCTGTTCAAAAAAAGTGATATAATCTCTTCTAAATAACAAAATTTATTTTAAGCTTGAATAACAATTAAAATTTATCTTTGCGTTTTAATTTCCAAAAAACAAACAAACAATAATCTATTCTAAGGCAATTATACAAGACACATAGATGAACTCAAGTCATTTAAAAAGACCTGATTACAAATCACTGAGTGAATAATATTCACTTCGTGTTGGTTAATTACATAATTAATTAACCACGCAGGCAATCGATGTATTCACTTTAGTTACAATGAGATAAATTATTATTATTATTATTATTATTATTATTATTATTATTACTGTACTATTTCTACCTAATTTCACTCAACCTTACTTTCTGCTCACCCTCGCCACCATCCTTGTTTATGAATATCATTTAT